AGCAACTGTTCTCCAAATATTAATGCTAAATTCTTATCACATCATTTTAGTAGTTCCATGGATGTCAGTCAAGCTGCCCACATGAATGGATGAGAAGTGTTTTTGTGTCAGTATTGATTGATATAGAACTGAGATAATTTTTTGTGGCTTGTTATCTTTAAGTCTGAATTAAACATAATTCTTATTGATGCTATTTTTACTATAAAATTTCTTCTATCTTTTCAGAATATATGTAGTGTTTGTAGTACAAAAAGGAATGCTGTGGAGCTTTTAAGTTACATATGTCTGGAAAGAAGCTTTGTAAGACTTTTGAACTCTTAGAGAATTAAGGGGCATTCACACTGTCACATGGTGACACTTGTTTATCATATTCACCAGGTCTCAGAAGTAATATCTCTTGGGTCTCAAATTCTAGTGGTACACAGAAGATACTGATGGATTAGCTAGTTATCGAAAGTGGCTTTGCATGCACTGGAAAGCTAATGAGGGTAGCAATGATATTTTAAATCCCGAACTTAAAAGAAAACCAACTGTATAAAAATTCCTGTATAAGTGATTAAGTTATAAGACATCAGAATAACACATAGAATTTGCACTTGTTCATCTTCTGAACAAGGGTAAACAACAGAATACTGACTGGAATAGAAGCAGTACATTAGCTAAGATAGATTAAGGACCTAAAGAATTATATTAATATAATATTTAAGAAAGTAATATTTATAGCAAAATATCCATGTAAGATTATAATTTAATGTTTGTGCTTATGCATTTTATGAAGGTAGAACTGAAGCGGTATTTTAAAACTTCCATAAACATTGAATTCTCTACTAAGGAAAATAGTTAAAAACTCATTATGGCATGCAGTGGTTGGATCTACTGGGCAGTGTTTTTGTTACTGTTCTACATAGCTAGTTTTGAGAGCTTGCTGTAATCCTGATTAAGCAAAGAAGCTCCAAATCAGATTATACATCTGGTAGCAGTTAAATGGAAGAGTTACCATCTGAGGATACAGCATTTCCACTGTAAAAAGAATAAAAGCACATTCTGTGATATAATTAAGCTACAGTTAGACGTAATCCTCCTGTCTCTTCATAAACTATATTCACACATTTATATTCAAACATTTATAATTGTTGCATTGCCCTTCTTCCAACATGTTGAAATGAAGAATGCCTCATGGATGACAAAGCTCCTTCAGACTGTCATGTTTTATTAAGCGTTATGAAAGAAACTGTGGAACTATTTTTGTTGTGGTATCTGAATAGAGAAAATATGGGAGAATCTTTAGCACAAAGAGGATCATCTTGACCAAATGATTGAACAAAAGCAAGAATTAATGCCAGGAGATAGATAATAAATAGCCTCAGAAGGTGAGTGGTAGAAGCTCTATTTTAACATACTTAAAATTTATATCACTACAGAATTTAGTTTGGAGGATAACCCTACACTAATAAGAAGACAGATTAGATGACCTATGTTGCACACTCACATTTTTATTTTATGCGGTTCTGTGAGTCTCTTGAGCAATCTAAGTAAACAGAAAATTGTATAAATGCAATATTCAAAAGGTAAATAGAGTTTAAAAATGATATAAGAAGACTTGCTGAATGAGATGTTAGACACTCTGCTCTGAACAATGGCTACCTGAGGTGAACCTGGTCTGGTGATTAACATGAGCTGAGATTAAGCAAATGGATTATAATGTTTTTTCTAGCTGAGTGCACTTGGAATAAGACTAAGGATGTTCATGTCATACGGCATAGACAATCACATGTACAACTTATAAATCTCTGAAAACAAGCTAACCACTCTTTTATTTATATAGGATGTAACTGTGGGTAAGTATGATGAAATTATATACATTATTTACCAGCTATATGACATTAGACATATTCTAATACATTTAGAACAAAATATTCCACTTAGTGTCTTTATAAAGTTTAGCAGCTTTGTGCATAAACTTTGAATGAGTGGTGTTCTTTATGAGAATGCAGGCAAAGGGATTCAATTCTGAACTCTGTTTGGTTTTCTTGCAGAATAAAATTCTTAACATTGGAATTGCCAAAATATCTTACTAGACATTCTGTATCATGTAATAGCAGCTATTTCTTAATTTTAGAATAAAATCATTTAAGTATGAAAATCGCTACTATGTTTAAGATGACATGAAGCTATTACAGTGTGATCACCTATAGTATAAAATAGTAACTTCTACAATATGTTGATTATTCATTTGTTGAAATGTTTATTTGTAAGATGCAATTATAAGGTATCTGAAAGATGTATAAGCAATTTCCACTATTAAAATTAATACTAGAAAGTATTCATACATGGTGTGCTATGCAACCATCAGCTCTTTCATACATGATGTATTGTGCAGCTACCAGTTCTCTGCCAAAACTGTTTTATCATTCATTTTATGTTTTGCTAAGGAAAACTCCTTTTTCTTAGTTACTTTTGTGAATTAGAATTATTTCATGTTTATAATGAAAATTGTCTTTTTTTTCTTTATATGTGTATTCTCGCTTTGTTTGTTTTGGATTTCATTACTTCCAGTGTCAAGACTCAGTCTTATAATTATCTTTATGTAAAATATTTCTCTTCCAAATGTTGATGCTTACATAACAATGTTTTACACAAGTACTAATACCCAGAACAACTTCTGAGAGACTAATTCAAAAGCAGTTATTATCAGTAGTCTCATGAGAAAATCCACCTATTTTATCTCTTGTAAGAGTGAATAATCATACAGTTAGATGAAATTCCACTCCATTTTCATGAAGGGTGAGAAGTCATGGTACAGCATAGCTGAGGAGCTATGTCTGTTCATTTCTGTCTCTGGCCATTATTGGTGATGACTTAACAGTTTTCTCCCCTTTCCCAGAGATCCTGGACTGGATTCTATTAGCGAGCTCAGGTCTTCTCGGCCAGTTAAACGGGGTAACACAACATTCAGTTCACTCAAGAACTTTACTACTGTCACTACTGCTTTCATTGGAGTAGAACATTCACTCTGCAAAGAGAGTGGGAAGTTTGTGTTGCAGCTAGCAATGAAAATGCCCTCATGGATTTCTTCTAGGAGTATCAGTACAAACAGAATGACACATGAAGCATGAAATGGCTGGTTCAAATTGTGTCCCTAGTCTTAACTCACCTGTCAACCTCTCGGTTTAGAAGTGTAATGAAAATTTAGGCAGCTAGTGAACAGATGTGTCAAAAAAGATGAGCAACTACAGCTCTCAGTGATTTCAGTTGAAGTGGAGCTCCTCCCTACCACAGAAAGTAAGCCATTTCACTAGCCATCGTGGACTGGGTTGTATAAGTTGCTGCAGCCAAGCTTGAAAATTTCTTCCTGCATATTCCTTAATAAAATACTTACAGGGTTTTTTTTATTTTAAAAATTTTTATTTTTTTTTAATTTAAAATGGAATTGTGATGACCTAAATCAATCTTTGTGTACATCATTTTAGTGCAGACCTGTTCAGTTATTTTTCAGTTTTAGCACTCAGAATAAGTACAATTTACAACATAAATAATGTATTAAAAGGAGACATTTCTTCCTGTGCTCTGATCATTGTTCAAAATAGCAAACATTTAAGAAGTTATTAACCCTTAGTGAAGGCAAATCACCCAAGCTGAAAACAGTGCATTATTTATTGGAAAAGCTGTAAGAACACAGTAAGATAAAATCTTGTCAAATCTGACTTCATTTGAACCTTGACTGTCTTGAAAAATAGCAACATTTTCTTATCAGTTTCAGAACTGGTGTATGTAGTAGTAAAACAGTCAAAATACTGTTTTCTGTAGCTTTATTAACAAAAATACGTAGTAGCAAGAGATTGTTCCATTAGTCAACATGGCAGCTACATCAAGGTGACATTGTCCAAGAATTTAATTTATATTATTTTGATGACAAACATATTCCCTGAGACTGCTATACAGCTTTTCAGTAAAACTCTGCTAATACTGCTTCCTTGAGGCTGATTAGTTGACTAGCCATTTTTACCCTGTGTTCCAGTCAAAGCAAGCCAATCATTAAGATAAAGCAATTTTATTCATTTAAAGGGTTGTCATTACAGTATCTGTATGTAGATTGGATTCAAATGGAAAGATCGTAGTGAGAGTGCTCTGTTTCCAAGCATGAAGTCTACTGATACAGCTGTCAGAAATAATCTGTTGTTTAAAAGACCAGTATTTAAATGTTTCAATTTAAAGGCTACTTCTACTGAAGAATACCTGCAATTTTTGTGTCTTTATAAAGGATTTAAAGACTTCTTTTACTAAAAAAAGCCTTATTTGATCAGTAATTTTTCCCACAGTATAAATGCAAATAATGTAGTGGTTTATGTATCATGAACTATAAAAATTATAATAGAAAAGCAAATGATCTGTCAATTTATGATGCAACTTAACTCTAAAACATGTTTTAGGTCTTATTCTGGTATAGTTTACAGTGTAGTAAATCAGGAGCCTTTTCTCTGATACCAGTGGATTTGCCCTGGTATAAAACTAGTATACGAGATCAGAATTAATTGTATTGTCTTTCAGTTTTATTATTTTGCACTGAATATGGCTCATGCCTAGGCACAAATTGCTCCCTAATAATACGGATTTTGCTAATATTTTAAATATGAAATGTTGTCATTAGCTTCATCCTCAAGAAAGAAAACATCTAATTATCATTTTGGACTGACAAAGTACCTTCTTCTAAGGAAAGGTTTCTTGTACAAAAATGATAAGAGATTTGAAATTACATAGGAGAGCTTTGGGAATATTTGCAAGTAGAGCTATGCTAACTTAATCCACCAGTACTGGAGTCTTTGTGGAATTTGGAGATAGCAGCTTGGATCCATTTAAATACAATGATTTTTGGCACAGCTTGGTGCTGTTGGTTTCTTATAAATTCTCTTTCTTGCGCCTTTCAAAATGAAGACCACATTATAACCGATCATAAGAAAAGTTTTACATCCATCTCCTCTTTCTTCCAGGTTGCTATCAAAATGAGTGAAACACCTTCAACTAGTTACTCAGTGAATCACCCAAACTCCTCAGAGAGTGAACAGAGTTTATCCGCTCGCCATTTCAATGTTACTGAACCTGTTGTGGCAAAACGGATCTGTTTCTATAAAAGTGGAGATCCTCAGTTTAATGGGATCAAAATGGTCATTAATAACCGGTCTTACAAAACATTTGATGCCTTGCTGGATAGTTTATCTAAACGGGTCCCATTACCTTTTGGAGTAAGGAATATTAGTACACCAAAAGGGAGACACAACATCACCAATTTGGAGGATCTTGAAGATGGAAAATCTTATATTTGCTCCCATCAGAGGAAAATGAAGCCCATCAACCTGGAACAGGCTAGCAAAAAGCCGCTGCCCTGGCAGATCAGTAGGCCTGTCAGTGCTCGTCGTCGAGCTGTGCAATTAGCAAGGGAGAATGAAGATGGATTTGGCCATCGAGAAAGCAAAATAACAACTCCCAAAAAGATGCTTGTTTTCAAAAATGGGGATGTAAGACTCAGGCGCACCATAGTTCTGGGAAAGAAAAATACACAAACCTTTGAGGCCTTTCTGGATTATATGAGTGAGTTAATGCAGTATCCAGTCGTGAAACTGTATACCACTGATGGCAGAAAGGTGAGAATAAAGATGAGTACAGACAATTTTTCTATGATTGCTTCTAGATTATTTTTAATTATAAAGGTGATTTTATCAATTATAAGCTTGGGACACTGGCCTGGTGTAAGATCTGATGTGCTGAATTTCAGCTGTTTCCTTTCTATGCCTTTTCCCCTTCAGAAAGGCTACTAGCTTGCAGGAAATATACTGGAATCTTGTCATCAGAGAGAAGTAAGTGAGGACATTTTACTTTAAGTCATCGTGAAAAAACACTTTTCTTTTTCTTACTCAGGCCTCTTTCAGGCATGCTTTCCATTCTATATTTTTACCTATTTACACAGAAATTTCCTTTAGTCTTAATGCTGTTTACCTGAGATTTTTAATGTTTTAAAAATACGATAAATAGCCTCTAATAGCCACACATATTTTACCATTACACAAATGCAGAGTGGTTTGCCATTAATGACTTAGAACTATGAGACCTGATTGTCTGTTACAGTTTTCAAACCATGGACCAGCTTCTGTACCTCTAAACCCAGATGATGCAGCACTAATAATCCTGATTTTCATCTCACACGCTGTTTTATATAATTTTATCTCTTGGTGTTTTATCCGTGTTTTGTTTAACCACAGAAAAGCACTTGTGATTATACCTAACAGGTATCTAGAAAGAGAATTCCATGCAGAGCTCCAAGAGTTCAAGAGAAATCTTGCATTTACCCTCCATTTGGTGAAATTCTGTATTAGATCGGGAAACTGTCCATATCACCTATAAGTCAGTGAAATGCAGTTTGTAAGCCTTGTCTTGCAATATATTTTGGAACACAAATTCAAAACTGCTAGACAAGGCTCTGAGCACCTTGATCCAGTCAGACCTGCTTTGAGCACAGGGTTAGACTACGTGACCTCCAGAGGTCTTTTCCAATGTATATTGTTCAGTGATTCTGTCCTATTCCTCTGTTGCAGTACAGGTCAAGTACTTGCACTGTATTCTGAATTTCCCCTTTCTTCCTCCAAATATGTGTTCATATGTACACCTACCTCCAAATGCATGTTCTTATTTCATGGCTATGAACAGTAGCTGTGCAACAATGAAACAAAATCACATATGCAAACACTTAAATTATAAGAAAATTTTGATCTGAATCCAAGTTGATTCTTGAAGTCTTTTTTTAATATATTTATATAACAAGACATACCCTTACAGAGATAGGAATTGCCTTATAGGAATTGAAAAATTAATTCCGTGCTGTGATACATATTTAATAGCCTGCTGCAAAATAATGTAGAGACTAAGAAGTGAAGATATTAAAGCATGAAAGGGATAAATCTCTTGCATTATTTTTATGGTTACTAAGGCAGAGAATTTAATGTTACTTTTTTTTTTTTTCCAGGTTCCTAATCTTCAGGCCCTGATATTGTGCTCTGGAGCTGTAGTCGCAGCAGGGAGAGAGCCTTTTAAACGAAGCAATTATGATTCTCTTGGGTATTCACAGCCTGCTAAATTGCTTGGAATTGCAAATCGTGTGTACCCAAAAGCAAATGCCAAGTCAGAAAGTGAAAATAGTAAGTTCTTTGAATTAATTTGTATTTTATTAATTGGTTTATCTCTCTCAGCATAAGACATAAACCATGACAATCTTAGTAGGATCAAGGATATTCAAAAAGGCCAGCTGAAATTGTTTATAACTGCTCTGACTCCTCTATAAGCATAAGAAAGATCAAAGTGTTAATGTTCTTTTCAAAATGTAAGTTTCTGCTAAGTACTCAGCTAGTATGCATATATTCTTTCAAACAGACTTATGTAGAACATGGATGCAAATCTCTAAGTATATTTTATTTTAATGCACTTGATTGTCATTAATTTTTTGGTATCACAGTTAATAATGGCAGTAGTAAAAGAGAAACAACAGGCTACTTCAGGCTCTTAACTGACTGAATTTCTTGAGCAAAACGTTTGTGCAGTTTTCAGAACTTACCTTAGCAAATGAAGGTTTGACTTGTCATTGTCATGACTTTCACTTTTTCCAATGTTCCATGCTCCACATAAACAGGAAAAACATTATAGCACCCATCCACTCACAAATTCACCCTGTTTTTGAAGCTGCTTTTGTCTAAACAGAGTGTCATCCTTTCCTATATCCTCATGGTTGTGATATATGTTTTTTTGCATAAGTTTGGGAAAAGATAGACAAATATGTACTTTCCCTTTGATTACTCATGGAGTTATGCCACTGACAAGGTCAGTAAGAGTGTGAAGTGGCCAGTGGATGATCAAGAACATGAGGAGCTGTTGGAGAGAAGCCAGGCTAGCCAAATAGCCTGAGGTTGAGGGGAACAAAATGCTGCAGTACCAGAGCTTTAGGTTGTGTGGGAATCCTCGGCATTAGAGCATCCTGTAGGGCAGAGGTACTGTCCAGGGGGAAACTTGTTTAATCCAGAGATACCTTGTACTCTTGATATGGCTGCATGCTGTACTGGAGAGCCCAGGGAACACTGTAATTGTTTCTGTACTGAGATTTTCCACGGTAATCTTGACTGTGTCATGAAGCGTATTGACACATAAGACACTTGGCTTCCATTTACTTCAAGGAGTTTCTTCCACATCCCTCTCAGTTTATTATGTCCCCACCAAACTATTCATTTTAGTTTTTCTCAGCCTTCATGTTCTTTGACTTGCACAGCTTGAGAGCTGTTTTCAGAGCATAACTAATGAGTCAAGAGAGAATGAATAGGAACGTTTTGAGAGTGAAAGTTCAGCAGAAACAAAAAATCCTACCCAAATTTTGCTTTGAGCCAGAGACTGAGACTTGCAATGGCAGAACATGTGAGTAGCTGAGAATCTGATAAGCTCCCTCTTCTAATCCTTAGTTAACAGCAATTACAGAAAGAGAGAGAAAAACCAAACCTCTTTTTGTCTTTAACCTGAGAATTTCAAAAGTATCCTGTGTGGGAGACATCACTGACGATGTGAGAGCCTGAAAAATCAAATTTCAGGCACTTTGTTCCAATTCTATTTCCTGAGACAGAGAAGGTGAGATTTTTACTTTGGGAAGCATAAGGTCTGGTCTGTGTTAGAGGAGTTAGTACAAACTTTTGCTTCTGATTCAGTTCATGGTAAAGCATATGCCTGGGAAACTTGCAAGACACTCTGCCTGATATAGACACATACCTATAATAGTAATATGTTAACTGTGAAAGTCTTGATATGAGACCATTTGTGACTCACTTGAGCAAAAAAAATTGCTTAAATTCAAGCAATGTAGATAAGTTAATATTACATGTATTAAAATACCTTTCTGCAAGTGAAACCTTTCTATTAAATGGTAGCTCCTATATATTTAGGTATCAGTAGCAGTTGAGGATGTCTTTGTGTGGGTGCACATGCACTGTTTCCCTTGCACATGCAGAACTTCTTGGAAGACAGCAAAACTTTATTTTTATCTCATGTTCTTTTATCTGTCACCTCTTCAGTGACAACTGTTAGAGAGAGATGAGATATTTTTTTTAAAAGCCAAGTTATTACAGAGTAATCAAAACATATTTTAGGAATATTTAATGTGTATGCAAACACATATTGGGCCATACTCAAAATTCATTGAAGTCTGGAAGTATTCTCATTGGCTTTACTGAGTTTTGTGACATCGTCTACAGTACTGTAACATAAAATGTATCCTAGAATGTCATGATTTAAATTCAGATTTTATAGGAAGTTCAAGTGCTTCAACGTTTACTTCTCTATAGAAGGTCAGTCCAGGGGACTGGATCTGAACCCTTTATTCACATGTCAGTGACACTACTCACAATAATCACTCATATGCTGTAGATTGTTGGATTAAGCCCAGGGAGATATATGTTCACCTTGCCTGACACATTTTAGCACTAACTGTAAGAATAGGAAATGATATATTAATGATTGTTAAGGCATGAAGAAGAAGTAAAGTTGGTAGCTTGAAGCCCAAACAAGTGAGGGCCTGTGAATCTCTTGAAAGGCTCAAGGCAACCTTAGCTCCTAACTAAGTATAAAATGGGAACATTTAGTACTTTTTTAGGCTTTGGAGCTTCAAATAAGACATTATTCTGTTCTGGCATTGTTCTGGCATTAGAAAGAACCTCTTGCAAAATAAAATTAAGTGGAAAAGTAGTTAAATGCTTGATTCTTTATTAAAAATTGGTTATATTTCTTTCTCTAACAACTTCTTAAAATGAACAGCAAGATTAGCCATGTTTTTCTCTTTGCTTTCTAATACTCCGGTAAAATAAACACACTTCATTAGCTTCTTTTGTACTAATTTTTCTCCTTTCTTTTCTTTTCCTTTGCTGCCTGTCTGCTGTCTCAACATCTGGATCCTTATGCATGATATTTGCCTGCTCTACTTTCCACCTACTGAATGAATTTGGGTTCTTTCAATGTGTTATTGGTAGCAAGAGCTGAAATGGGTTCTAGCTCAAGATCTCAGATATTCTCAGTTTCTTCTGATAAAGGGTCCAGCAATGATAACAACTCAAATTATAACAACTCGGATTCTTCCTATGTTCCTGACAGTCATAATGGTATAGGAGGAAATCAGTCAGTTACTGGTGAAGACTTATCTGTGTCACCATATGAAGATGACATTGAGAAATCTGTTCAGCTTAATCAAGATGGCAGCATCACAGTGGAAATGAAGGTTCGATTCAAAATTAAAGAGGAAGAAACCATTAAATGGACAACCACTGTAAGTCGTGCTGGCCTTTTTGATGACAAAAATACCACCATTTGCAACTCTGCAATGCGTGCAGAAGACTGCTTATCCAATGTAAATGTATCAGAATGTATAAAATCAAAAGATGCTCCATTTTTGAAGAGCTGCAATAAAGAAGAGGGAGACTCATTACAGGAATTCAATGCTGAAGTGTCAGACAAAGAATCAGATTCTGATTTTAAAACTGCTTGTTGTAATATCTGTAAGAAGAACAATTCTGCAGATCTGCCTGAGGATGATATCAGGCCTCACTTTTATAGGCCTCCCACCCCTGGGCCAAGGCGTGTTAGACAAAAGAAAGCAGTAGTTGAAAGTGTCACCTTGGTATCTGAGAAAGAGGTTCAGGAGAAGACAATAGGACAGTTTTCCTACAGTGAGGAAATACAGAATGGAGAAAATAAATCTGAGTATTGCATGGTAGCTCATTCAAGCAGAAAAAAATCAAGTGTCAGTAATCCAAAGTTTAGTGAAATGAGTGACAATGATTTATTAAAGCTTTCTTCAGAGAATATAAAAGAAGAAATGCTTTTTAAAGTAAGCCACAAAAATAATAATTTAATAGAAACCACAGATAGGAAGACATTAGAAGTGCCTGGTGAGGATGAATTGGCACAGAATATATTAGAGAAATCAGTTGTGGAACAAGGTATATATAATAGTTTAGTATCAACCTGCAACGCTAACATCAGTGGTTTCATACCACCACCAAAAATTTACCAGGCAGTTAGGCCAAGTTCAGCAGACCACATCCATGAGTCATGTGATTTTAAACAAATAAAAAGATCACTGAGTTCTTTCATTAGATATTCAGAATTATGTCAGTCAAAAGAAGAAACAAAATACAAAGCTGCTGATTTATTGCCTCTTTCTCAAGATTCAATGCATTCAGCCTGTCCCGGACATAGCCAGATGAAGATGATGGTATATCCATGTAGTAAAGCTCCTACTGAGAGCCTAAATCCAACAACTGGATTCTTTCCTACTGTTACTGCAGGTGAGAATCAACTCAGTGTCAGGACTGAATCTGTGATGGCAACACATCTCATTGATGACAGTCAATCTGCATCTTCCCTCACCAAAAAGAAGAAGAAGAAGAGAAAATCATCTAATGTTCTAGAACAAGGTACATATGATAATCAAAAAGATAAAGAAATTTCAGGGATAATTAAAAGTGAGGGACTGCATATCACAAGCAAAACCACACAAGATTCCGCAACAGAGGCTATGGATAATTATTCTGAAATGCCTCAGAAAAAAAGAATGGAATTTTTTGTAAAAAACAATGGTGGGTCTGTAAATTCAGACAAAAGCATACGTCCTGAAGATGAGTTCTATCACGAGGATTCAGTGGAACAAAATGGATTATCATCTAATAAAAAACCAAGAAGTAATAATAAGTTGGCCAAGGTAAAATTGAAGTCAGGCAAAAAAAATAGCATTGTTTCATCTGCAAAGAGTGAAGATGGTCTAATGACAGTTGATTCAAACAATAAATCTGAACACAGTCAGGATACACTGAGTACTGAGAAAGAAGGCACACATCTTACAACCAATTCTTTTGAACAGACACCTAACTCATCAGTGGTTTCAAAGCCATTGTCAGAAGTGCCAAAGAATCTTAACTTTGAAAAAGAAAAGGAAAAGAATATTTTGGAAAATTTGTCATCAAAGAAAGAGAAAAAGCAAAAGGGGATGAAGAAAAATCTAAGGAAAGGTGCAAGTAAGTTAAATATGTCAGAGAGAGCCATTGCGCTAGAGGCTCTAAAACAGGAGGATTTTCAAAAGGAAGCTGTTGAGCATTCACTTGAAAACTATGTCCAAACTTGGCTGAAAAACTTGTTACCAAATTCTGTCTTACCTCCTATAAATAAAAGAGACAGCAATGTAGAGAATAGCAATGTCTGTCATTTTCCTAAAGAAAATACTGATACTTGTATAGATAAAGAAACAATACTTATCACAAATAAAGTGCATGTGACTGGAAAAAATCATCTGGTTGAACACAATCTAACAAAAAAAACATTAAAGCCTATTTGTGATTTGGGAACTTTAGAAAAATCAGCCAAGGATTCACATGAAAAACAAACTGACTCTTTGATTCATGCTAATACAACTATAGTAGAAGAAGCCAAGTATTCATTACAGTCAGAATTTCATCATGATGGTAAGCTACACTTGTTTCATGAAGCACATGGCAATGATAAAAAGATGTCAGAAGTTGATATTCAAGATACCAACCTGTGTCAAAGAAAAAAATCTGAAGTTGCTGTTCAAGTTGATTGTGCAATTGTCAATGAGAAAATGGGAATTGATGTTCAGAATAATTGCATGTCTAGCATGTTGCTGCATGAACTACAATCAACTTTGCTTGGTCTCCAGAAAGAACATAGTGGATGCATAGGAAAAGTTTGCAGCCTTTCAGATCTTTCTCCTTCCACTTTTGGTTCTTCCTCCAATGTCCTCCTAGCTTGGCTGCTTTTACTGAATCTGAGAGAGAGTTTGATTGGGACAATCAAAGATGATATGCAAAAGGCTACCTGTAGCTGTTCTGAAATATTTACACAGTTACAATTTCTGAAACAAACTACAGTCATAGAAAAAGTTGATGAACTGAAGGCTGCCTTCTCACATTTTCAGCAATCAACAGAAAATAACTTAGTACACTTTGGGAGGGAACTCAAAAAGCAGGACTCCACACATTGCCATGAGAATATGCCCATATCTGAAATTCATAACAGTATACATTTGCATGAAAATGAAAAATCAGTTGAGCCTTGTATTCCAAAGGACAGTGTAAATTCTGAAGAAGCTCTGAAATTGACTGGTGAATTAGAAAGCTGTTTTGATATACAGAAAGGTTTTTGTAGAGAAACAGAGACTTTAGGCTTGAGTGCTCCCAAAACACAGCTAGATGGTCAATATGCCAATACTCATTCAAATACCTGTAGCCTTGCATCAGCTATAGAGCCACCTGAAAGAAATGAAGAAATGCCTGATAACCTATATAAAAAATCTCAAGATAAAACCACTGATGAACCATCATTCACTCATGAAGAATCAGAAACTTCAGTAGAACCTAACTCGACAGTTCATAGTGTAACGTCTAATGATAAAAATTGTATTTTAGATCAGGATACTTCTGAGTTAGAAGGTGAAAAAGATATTACACATGTTACTACTGATAAAAGTGAAGATGAGAAAGTTGATCGAAAGTCAGCAGGTAATGGAAAAAAAACAAATAACCAAATTAAACTAGCTGCTGAAACGTCTGTAGAATATAATAATGAGGATTATTCTGTACCAGAAGACAAGGAAGATGCAGAAACTTGTGACAAAACCTCTGAGAGGTCATCTACAGTCTCTCCATTATCATTTTGTTATGAATCAAAGCAAATTACAGAATGTGATATGAGTGAAGGAGAACAGAAATTGCAAGTAGAAGAACTGGAGAATAAAATGTGTTCAGACACTTCTCAATTAAAAAAATGCTTAAAAAGTCCTGCTACTTCCGACTGGTCAGATTACAGACCAGACACTGAAGAAAGTGATTATAACTTTAGAGCATCCAGTGATTTGACCAATGAAAGTGGGGACGAAGCAGTACTTGAAAAACATTATAACACTGGCTATGTAAAAAGAACTATTGAACGACTTTATGGCAAGACGGAAGCTTCATTTAAGCCTGACTTTCACAAAGGATTTCTTTATATGTCAAAAGTATTTCAAAAAGATACTGAAGAATTCCACTCTGCAGTGGTGGAAAAAAGCATTTATTTTTCTCAAGAACCTAGGTCTTGTTCTGCAGAGAAATTGTCACATTCTTCACTACCATCACAAGAATTTCCAGTAAACATAAACAAAGATGACACTATATTGAGCAGAGAAAGTACTTCTTTACCAACACCACAACCTACTCTTAACAGAGAAGAGACAAGTTATACTAATGACCGTTCAGGGGAATCTCCAAAGCAACATTGTCAACCTAGCGTACGAGCTAATGAAGATGAAGGAATATTGATAGATAAAGGCAAATGGCTTCTCAAAGAAAATCATTTGATAAGAAGATCACCACCTGAACAGATTGGAATGTATGATAATTTAGATACAACATCAACAGACACAGTCCTTGATACCAACAGTGAAGATGTTCCATACTCACACTTTGGCAATCTGAATCAGTACCCAGTCCTCAATGAAATCTCTTCTTCAGAACTTGAAGACATGGCTAAACCCTCTGAAAATTTTTGCAACTACTTCAATATGCCTCATAATAGTGATTCAGACCCCTTTCAGGATGACTTAAGTACAAAAAGCAAACCTAGCCACAATGGTAAAAGCACTTCCCTTCCTGCAGCAAACAAAGAAAAGATTAAACCATCAGTCATGGTAGGTTCTACGTCCACACATCTTTCCACACAGGCTGATACCAATTTTTCAGCCTTTACACCGGTAGAATTTAGATTGCCTGATAACAAGGTGCATCCATTGGAACAGCCTTTAAATAATGAACCCATACAGTCTCAGCCAACTGATGTTAGCAGTGCTAACAGAAGTGCTCTTCAGGAAGAAGATTCTCTGGATAAACTCCACGCTATATGTGGCCAACATTGTCCAATACTGATGGTGACAGTAACACCAATTAATGAGGAACAGAGAGGATATGCCTACCAAAAGGCATCTGATATTGAGAACCAGCTGGGTCCATGTTTGCTGGCAAAAAAGAGTGAACATTTACAATGGTCAGACAACGATTTAATAACAGATGAAAATAATCATGTGACTCTGAAGAATAACTGTATCAATAAGATTGCCAATAATATTTTTAATAGGCTTTATGCTAATAACACCTTAGATTTTATTAGTAACTTTGGAATACTTGCAGGGAAGTTACATGCAATAGAGAATATGAATGTAAAACCCGTGGAAGTCAGTAACTGTCAAAATAATGTACCCAAACATGTACCCAGCGATCTTGTGATAGACACAAATAGTGAGCTATCCAATAGAAAGCCAAAAATATGCCAAACCCTAAGAATAAGCCTAACTCATATTGTTGGAGAAAAATTTTCTCCCATGTTGGCAGATCCAGCAGAAACCTGTCATTCTGAAACATTTCTGAAGTGTGACACTTCTTTAAATAACATTGAACATAATGCCTCTGAAAACCTGAAAAATGAAAATGCCTTTCCTACAGAAGAAGAAGAAGAAGAAGGTTTTTTTTGTAAAATGGACAATGGAAACAGTAAAGATGAGAAAGACTTGTAATAGAGATCTTGGCATTTCTATAACATTAGATCAGTGAAAACATCTGCAGAAAAAAAAAAAATCACAAAATAAACTGCTGAATGCCACACCCACTAAAACTCCCAATGTGAATACAGCCCAGACCTAGATAAATATAAATCACAATTGTATATCATTGCTGAAAAACAGATAATGACTTAGATTTTTATGGGAACCAACACAGGAAGAAAAGCTGTTCTTCTAAGTCTATGATTTCTTGGTTAAAAAACAGTTTTTCCCTGAAACGTTAGCTGTTCAGAGATATTCAGTTATATACCAGCCATCTCATTTGTAGAGAAACAACTGCTTCTTGTTAGAACAGAGAACTGAAATTTGAAATACCTGCCTGAGTTCTAAGATAAGATTCCTGTATTTCATGACATTTGAGAAAGGGTTTGAGAATTATCTTTCAGTAGAAATGCTTCTCCAGAACAAAATCAACTGATATGTTTAATTTGAAATGAAAAGTAGGAAATACTATTCAGATGCTGTAATAGAATGAAAGTAGGAAACAGAAGTCATGTTAATTTTATATAGATTAACATTATCAAGTTGCTATTTCAATTTTTAAAGGCCAACTTAAGAATATTTATGTGAGTAAAGAGATCTTTCAGTCTGTATGTAGGATCATCCACACTCCAAATGACGTTTGCCTCTTCTACCCAGAGGATACTAGAAAAGGAGCGTATTAATTGCCACTGGGATTCCACAGCAACTGAGAAGGGAGACTGTGTGTCAATGGACTGTCCTTGCCATATTCCTTTCTGAGGCAGCACCGCTTACTCTTAAAATTGTTCTACATACACTACAAGTTTTAGTTGTGTTTTCTTCTTTAACCTCTGTACTTTAAAGGTGGCCCATGTCTTTTCTGTTTGTTTTTTTTTTTTTTTTTGTAAATATGTTGTATTATGAGAATCTAAGGCATATGTAATATGTTTCAGGATCTTTCAATCTGTTATTAGAATTATTTTGGATACTGTTTACAGCATTTTTTAATATTATGTGCATGTAGTAAGCACTTATATATGGTTTACAATTTTCACTAAATGATTTTAAATATAAAATTGGAAAATATTTAATGTATATTGTGATTAGGCAGAGTATTTCAGTTTTTTGGTTAGATTTTAATGCCTAACACTGCATAGTACCTTGCTTCAATGTCAATGAAGTCAGAGATACACCTGAAGAAGGAGGGTGCTATTCTTGTGTTAGAGAATGAGAATTTGACCATTCTGTACTCTTGGAGGCTATGTCTAGACTAATTGTCATGTACACATTGCGATAAGCTCTGGATCAGGATCCTTTGCTTATCCAGACTGGACACCTAATTAAAGGCTGACACAAATCCCTTTTGCGCTAGAGGCTTTGGTTGCCTCCCTGTGGGACAGAAGGCACGTGGAGGGGAAGTAGAAATTAGATTTGGAGCAAAAGGGGTTTGCAGTACAGCTAGGAAACCGAGAAGCACTCTTCAAGTCTTTTTAGGAGTCCAGTGGCAGATATATTTCCCCATAAATAACTGATAAGTTTCTGTTGTTTGAAGCAGTGTATTCTATGTAATAAACTAACATTACAACTCTAAAGTAACATATATCGTCTAATATATTTCACACTAAATAGCCGTGTGTTATTTCCTATGCTGGCCTTGTTTCTGGTGTTCTTTCCTCCATCTCCACATTCTTTGGCGTCCTTCTTCGCGTGTTTTAGGACTGCTCCAAGTGAAGAATCTCAGTGGTATTTTTTCATCCTTTTACATGTTAATACAGAAATAAAGCCTATGTTTGGAAAATGAATCTCAAAATTACTAGAATCCAATTAAATGCCACATAGCATTCTGAGTACCAGGCTTCTATGCTGTAAATAATGTCTAAATGTTAGATAGGCAAATTAACATCTATATATATATATGTCTCCATCACTTGCAGTCTTTCTGCTGGATTCACAGCACCCTGTGCTGCTTTCACAGCACCTTAACTTTTTCAGATCAAGGTTCAAGAACCTTTAATCAGATGCTTATTATAGGGTCACTGAGCAAACTAAGCACTCAAAAGGTGAGAGATGAGGTACTGCCTGAGGTTACAATTAGCAGAGACTACAGCAAGTGGTGAAATGATTGTTATATTAACTGAAAGACTTGCTTCTGATTTCAGTATGTTAACTGAAAGAGAAGGAATAAAATGGTCACCTCAGAGCAGGACAAAATGTTGACAGTGAGATGTACCATACCGTCATAGGGATTATATATTCATTAATGGTTCAGGGAAGGTATAGAATATTAAGTGGCTGAGGTATGCAGATAAAAGAAAATTGCTTTCATTAGATAAGATTGGAGAAGGCTGAAGAAAGAACCTCAAAATGCTGGTGACTAGAGCAACATACTGATTGACAGAGGGAAAAACACCATGAGCAGTAATATGAACTACTTTATATAGATAGTTTAGTTCTGCAAATTAACTGCAAAAGACATGGAGTCTTTCTGAATAAGTCAGGATAAAATATGCTTGGAAGTGACAAGCATATTAAATAATGTGTACAGAACAGGATAGAAAACAATTCAGCAGGCATTCAAGGACTTTATATAGATTATACCATTCTTCTAGAAGGAATTAAGTTTTTGTCTTGCCATTATTAAAAATGAAACAGCCAACATAACATACAGATCACAGTCCCAGGAAGTTTCAGTTTATCTAGTTTAGTCCCCTGCAGAGAGGAACCACACAATTCGGTAAGTAATTCCATTTAATTACTAAATCTCATTTTAAAACTTGTTATCTATAGTCATTACAGCTTCCACTGGAGGGATGTTCTAGAGCTTGAGTCCTTCTTCTGATGTCTGTCTTAACTGTTTTGTAATTTCTATCCTAAGCTTAGTCACAGTTAGTTTATATACATGTGTCCCAAAGCCATCTTTGTCATTTACTTAAATATGTCTTTTTCCTCCTTGGTATCTATCAACAAAATCAGATATTCTCTCAACTTTTTCTCCTACATAAACATTTTCTCCATTTCCTCTGATCATCATGGTTGTTTTTCTCAGGACTTTTTCTAGTTTCAATAAATCTTTTTTTGAATATGGTTACCAGAACTTTATGCAGTATTTAAAAGATTGTCTCTCTGAACTCTGGAACAGTAACAGTAAAACTTCTTTACTTAGAAATCTCTCTCCTGGTGCATCATACAGTCACATCAATGACTCACTCCTCTGTTTTTTTAAGTGACAAATTCCCTGTTCATTGCATTAAGTTTTGGTAGTATTTTTGAAATGCATTTCCTTGCACTTTATGCTGTTATCTATTATCCCTTCTCTACTACTCTGGATTTTCTGATCCTCATACTTTGACAATTCTTAGCAACTGTATTACAGAAATTACTACTTGATGCAGTATATTGATGAAAATATGAAATCCAGATAAATTCCAAAACTGATGCCTGAGAAACTTACTAGTATCCCTATAAATTAATACTTCTCATTTCTGCACTAATGTATAATTTCCCATTTACGTAGCTATTTTGTTACTCTACAGTCTTGCACTAATCCACTTCTCCATTTTAGCTACTAATTTCTCATATAATGCTTGGATAGATTAGAGCTACTGTAATTTCCTTGTCTACAAAGATGAATTCTCCTCATCATGGAGGAGATCGGGTACTTTAACAATGCAAGTCTGGATACCTTGTGCCATGTATCTGCAGTAAACTGATGCTGGTAATCTTTTTTTTCTGTTTAGCTGTATATATCTGGAGATAACTGTCCATTCATTTAAAATTTGTTCAGACATTACCTATTATTGCTTTGGTGTAAGATACATGGGTTTTAGTCTCTCAGTGCACTCTTCATCCCATTCTGATTTTCCATTTCACGTTTCCCATTCTATAGCCCATTCTTGTCAACAGTGCTGACATTTCCCAATCACTGTATGTCACCATTCTTAATAAAAAAAAAAAAAGGGCAGTTTTCACTTTATTGTAAAGGCATACTTAGTTTGTGTTCTCAAATTCAGCACATAGCGTACATAGTCCTTCTTTCTTTATTTTCTTTTAATGTGTATGGTTAAATAACCTTTTTACTAGTTTGTTTTATTTTCCTTTGCTATACCTTGCTCTTCAGTTCAATTGACTTTGTTAATCTCTTCCCTTAGTTTTGAAAATTTGTTATTTTTAAATCAAAGGCATTCTGGACTAATTTTACTGTGAACCAGTATAAATATTGAGGGATTTAAAAAAATATTAACCATACAAAAATCTTATTCAATAACAGTCAAGACTAGCATTTCATCTAAATATGGTATTTTATGTTTTTTTTTCTTTTTTTCTTTCAGCAATATCTCACAACTAAATTTGCAAACAGATGTCATTGCCAGTGCATGACAGGCTTATATACAAAACAGTTATATAGTAGAGAATTTATTGGGTATCTTTGCTACCCTTGACCTGAATAAAATAGTCAAACAGGTCTTTTACTGAATTGCAGTGAATATTCACATATGAGTAGAGGTGAAGACTGGAAACTATTCACTGGAAAGGCTTCAAGAGACTGAAAACAGTGTATTGGAGAAGAAGCCATTGCACACAGTGATCTATAGTAATCACTACTATTTCTAGTGTGATGTATAGAAAGCTGGATGACATGGTTTTGCATATGTAAAAGTGTATATAACACAAAAGCTAATGAGAAATGACTGATTTCTCAGAAGTGTTGGGCTTCTCAATTTGAGTGCATAGAAGCAATACTTTGGAATCATTTATTGGTTTTCATTTCTGAAATGCATAGGGCATATTTCTCTTTACTTCTAAGGATGCCAGAAGAAAGCAAGACCACTTAATTGTTTAATTTGTCACTATTAAACAAGTTACTTGACTTTTATAGCACTGATGTTATCAAATATCATTAGTCTAATTACCTTGTTAATCTACTGTAAGAATTAGGGGGACTATTTAATGCAATTTTCTTACTCTAATAAACTAAAGCAAGACAAGAGGTTAGGTACACCTCCATAGAGTGATTTAAATGTTGTATACATATGCTAGTTTCTCAGTTATAACTGAGCTCAACATAGAGGATTATATGGTCACCTGGCATCAGTCATGGCTCACAGAAAGTTGGAGCAGACACTGCTTTGGAGAGTGTAAAGACCCCCCTTTGTAATAGAAACAGCAAGCTAACTTCAACTGTGGAAAAAGCAGATTACAGCAACTTTTGAGAAGGGTCACACTGCTCTGTTGTTGGAAAATGTGATTCTGCCAGTTACTTCTCCTCCTCAGGTCACACAGTTGTTATTTTTTCCCTGTTCTTTCAGTTTAATGTGTTCAGGCTATGACAATTCTTGTAATGATGAAGTTTAATCTGTGGGTAAGAGTAGCTGTTTGGCAATTTATTATTTAATAATGACAATATAATTAGTTAGGAAGCATTGGTACTATAGCTGCACACTCACAGTAGTTTCAGAAAAGTGTTCCTTTAAGAGTCTCTCTTTAAAATTGAGTAGTGGTGTATACTCCAAATTTCTCATGATAATAATATGTTTTAGATGCCTGCTCTTAAACAATATAACTTCCCTCAGATTCTGTCTTTTAAAATTTTCACACTTTCTACTCAGGTCATGGACCTACAAGCATTTTTCAAACAAATAAGTAAATCTCAGAACACTTCTGTGGAATTTCAAGGTCCTGAGGTTTGTCCTCAAAGATGAACCGAGCATTAAGTTAATGTCTCCCTGTCTCTCCCCTCAAAGTATGGGGGAAAATATATATTTTAATAGATACTTATTCTACAATACTGCATTTCCCAAGGAACGTGTGTTTTACACACAAAGCACAATGGCCACACAGAAGTAAAAATTTCCTCAATAGGTATAGCCCAATGGTTATAGCAAGACACAAACAAGACTTATAGATTCCACCATCAGGTCTCATTAATATGTTAGATTTCATAATGTGCCTTTACTGTACCTTGTTTTCTGCCTTTTATTAAAAGCAGTATTAATTATTCAAACAGAACTGCTAAGTGGTATGGAGGACATGCATTCTCAACTCATTATTTCCTAGATACAAAGATACTGACATACACCATGACTAGGTCAGCCTAATTATCACTTTCTTAAATATCTTTTCTTTTTGGACATGGCTAAACATCAGCAAGTAAAAATATTAATCCTATCTTACTTTTTCCAGAATGCCACAGAAAACTAAATGCAAATTTCTCAAACCATTGGTTTCACCAGTCCTTCAAATAATATTCTGCTGCAGCATAATTTGGTGTATGTATCATGATCAACATCCACTGACTCCTTTAAGAAAATGCCCACGGCTAGCACTGAAAATAAAGTGACGCTCAAAACAAAAGTGGTTTCACTGAACCTCACAACAGAACTGCAGGATAGCTTATTGCCTGGGGTTTAAGACACACAAGTATCACACAATTTTAAGTATCTCAAATAGTCAGTAAACACAAAATTCATCATATCATGATGAGTTCACTCATCATCGCTATATTATTTCTTAGTGTTTTAGCCAGAGCAGACAGGATCAAAGATACTGTGATGGAGGGAAAAGTCAGTAATACAAGTAAAATGTGTAGCATAGATGAATCATTAGATGATAGGGGACTTCTGTAGTCAGTAAGGCCCTTTATTACAGCTGCTGTACTTTAAAGAAAGTTCTTTTTTAAGAAACAGTGATATTAATCAGTGGTGCAAAACAGTCTTAGCAAGCTTGGGAGGTGCTTAAATGTATACAATTTGAGATGGGTATCAGATAATTAGAAAGATTGGGAGCGAGGGCATTTTCTTAATATTCCTTCCTGTTATCAGCTATCCCTCAGTGATACCATTTCCCTTAATTCCATGCCATTGATACTCAGCTTCCACTAAACCAAAGCCTAAATCCATATACTTGGTCTTGATGATTATGAATTTTAAGCATGGAAAGAGTATTGGTGTCTCAGGGTATAATGCCAACACTGCAATGCAAGAATATTCCAAAGAAGCTGTTACATCTGTGTAGCCCATCACATCTCTGGAGAGATACAGATCCTTTCTTAAAGTGGTCTCTTTCAGCAGAGTTGATTTGCTTTGAGAGACCCTAATGCTTGAAGTGATGAGTTTGTAATTCCAGAGCTAGCTTGCTGAGAGCCTGCATGTCATTACGCAGCACTGCATTGGGCAGAGCTGATATATCCTAAATAAACAGAAAGTCATATTTAATACAATTTAATACAATATTTCAAAACTGTGTTTGAAAAGTGATCTACGTTCATGCAAATTTGACTTTGTCATATGGCATCTTCAGAGCAAAAGATGTGAATGCAACCTGACATTTCTTGATTTTTGCGTGCCCAACATAGCAAACTCGATATTTGCCTGCTGTAATTTTGTGAAATATATTTCTGTATTCATCAACATGATATTATTTAGAATTGTGATTACTGAAATGCATTTTGCTTAAGAATTTTGAGTTTAAGTAATTCAGTGAGTCTTTTTATCTTTTGATAGCTAGGAAATGGAAGGTATCAGTCCTCACCAGTGATATGCCATCTGCAGGAACAAGCTCAAAGGTTTATATTACATTGTATGGGGATCACAGCAGTTCAGGGCCTATTTTTCTTGATGGAGAGGAGGGAAAATTATTTCAGAGAGGCAATGAAGACATCTTCACAGTAAGTAATATATATTCATTGTGTTGCCCTCTTGTATCTTGCCAGATTGCATGACACTTCAAAATCTATGCAACAAAAAAGTCAGTTTTTTGTATGGTACACATATCTGGAAACAAGAAATAGGACTTAAATGTAGAACTAAATTTAGTATCCTTTCCCACTCGCCTATCCAAAGTTGATTTGATCCAACATATTTCTTGTCTGTTTAAGAAGAACTACTGGTTAATTTACATAGTGCCCAAGAAAATATCAAGAAATATAGGACAACAGATCCTTGTTTAGTTTTTAAATTTGAAATGGGGCTATAACGTTAAATATGAAATGAGGAACCGAAGAATTAGGGTATGGAGTAAATTTTTAACTTTGTTAGATACCTGCTGCTTTATTGGAATAATGGCAATTTTTATACCTGTGATAAAGTCTGTCTATCTGAAGCTCCTTCTGCTCCCAGTTACACCAGCAAATTTCTCCCCCATCAGTCTTGTGGCATGGTTATTTAAGTGAGCCAGAATAGGTCTCTTATGAAAAGCTGCATAGCTTGAGTGTGTATATGGGATTGTCAGTGGGTGTCTCTAGCAGATGCCAGATATAGGGCCATATAATAAAGAGGTGCTTCCATTGTTAGTATCCAGCATAACAAGTCCCCTTCTGAGAAGAGGTATTTAATGACGGCACTGATGAAGAGCTCGCCTTTTTGACAATAGCCTCGTAGCTGCTTGGGATGTAGGAAATACAGTTCTTAGCCCTCTTCAGCCTGATGGAATTTCTCAGAAGAATCCAGCACCTCTGACAGCATGCCAGTCTCCACCTGTGATGTCAAAAGACCCCAGATACAAGATTGAAAGGAGTGGATAAAATAAGTAACCAGGTGCCTGACAGATAAAAATACCCTCTTCACAACAGATGTTGTTGGCCCTGTTTCCTGCTGCCATTATTGCAATTAATTTCACCTCCAATGACTTTTAAATGCAAAATATGGAGGCAGTCCCTCGTTTGGGACCTAGGACTCCCCTCTTAGGTGAGTATCCATAGCACTGAATACAACTAAGGAGTGCCTACTCTGAAACGTATAGAAAGAGAAAAGCTTCTCTGCTTGTGCTGTGTGCTAGATCTCAGTTAACTCTGGTCTGTCCTTGCTGCTCTGTCCCTTCATTGTTTATAACACTGAGTTTAGGGAAGTTCATGGTACAGGGAGCTCAGTTCACACTCAGCTCTACACTGTAAATGAAAACAAGAAAATGAATTCTACAGAAAACAGCAGAAGGACACCAAATCCAGCCTACATAATAAGAAAAAAAAGGATACAGAAAGGAGGGAAGACACTCATGGTGTGTTTCCAGTTCCTTGAAGATAAGCTTTCTATTTCTACACTTAAGTTCATAACTGGTTGTTTGAATAACCTGCACACAAAGTTATTCCCACAGCACCCTGTTATCTGTACTGGACACACTCATCCAGCCTGCCCAAGAGCTAATCTTTCAAATACAGCTTTTTAAGTTGATTTAATTGAAATGATTTGTAAAAGGAAACACCAAAGCTGAACACAATTGTTTCCAAAATTGTAAGGCATACCCTCCTGGAGGGGTAGGGAGAAACTCAGAGGTATATGGGAGGTGCTTGGGAGACCGAAATCATTTTGGAGCAGGTCAGTGGTATAGATGCTAAACTAAGCCAGGTTTTAGGGTCAAGACACTTTTGCTTTTTAGTCATACATACAGTCTGTATTCATCTCCCACTGATGTCTATTTTCAGTGGTGAACAAAATAGCTACAGCAACATCCTGAAGCCATTTAAATGGAGCTGGCAGGACAACAGATTTTTTAAGGGTTGTCCTTTAAAAGAGTCAAGCATCTAATGATTATCCAGAGAAAAATATTTTGGAAATGCTTGTTTAAATATCAGAATATTTCATTCCTCTAAACAAAAATGTCACCTGACAGTTACTAAATGAATTTCTGTTGCATGCTCTTTCCTTTTAAAAAATGTTATGTGTTTCATCAGTTGTGTTTCTTTTACAGGTTAATACTGGAAACATAGGACATCTCTACAAAATACGCATAGGACATACGAATGCAGGAAATTCCCCTGCCTGGCACTGTGAAGAGGTAATAGCAGTGAGAAAGAATTTCATCTTTCCCAAAGCAGTCACTATGACAGTGGAGTCAAAACATGAGTCAGAAAAAATCCTGGGATAAGCATATTACCCTCATCAAATATTTGCAGCTTCATTTAAGAGATTATTTATAAAGGAGTGTTTTTGTGTGGAATTAAAGGCAGTTTATGACAGTATGTCCTGGCTGTTTGTTTGCAGTTTAGTGAGAGCTGTACGTTATGTTTCTTTTAAAATGTGTGGCTGGGCAGCAAGAAAGACTGCTTCAGTTGACTGCTGTAGTCTGAGTCTTCTGCAGTCTTTGTATGCTACAGAGCGTCTAGAGTTTGCTGAAATCCAGAAAGTCACTGAACTCATCTATCCAAGTCCTCCTCAAACCTGTGGCTGATGCTGGGTCCTTATGCACAACACCACAGCTACATTGCAAATTTTTCTAGTTCTGTGTCTCTGAGGAGAAAAAGACAATAACTGGTTATTTTCCCTCTTTATTTAAAAAAGATCTTGATGCAGGTAAAGCAAAGATAATAAAGCAAAGAGAATCAGCTAGTTCTGTTTCAAGCTTCAGTCATGAAGCATAGTATATGGGTTTCTGGACTGGGAATGAAAGGATGTGGCTTTTATCCTTAACATCGGTGATGTACCATGTGTGCCAATGGTATACTATGCATGCCTGAAACACTTCCCTCTTTGTGCCAGCATTTCTTGTCCTTCAGTTAAGAGACAGCAGTTTATGAAGGGCTTTAGAAACTGCTGGTAAACTCATTATAATCGTACTTCAGGATAAATCTAGATCTATCTAATGCAAAATGTCAACTGAAGTTAAATATTCACTGATCAATGTTCAAACTCTGTGGCTATTTGATGCTTTAACTAGTTGTTTTCATCTGGGACTGAGACTCAGAAAGAAGACTAAGGTCTGGGTCGTGTTAACTGAAGTTTAGGCAAGATCCTGTGAGTTCATACCTCTAGCCAATGCATGTCTACATTGAAATACTGTGTCACAGGTAGTATCACTCTGTTTAAGAGGTTTCATGCTAGAATTATAGGGATTATATCTCTTTCAGGTGAAGATTGCCTGATTATAAAGCCTAGGTATTTGTTTCCCAGCTGTGCTGTGTTTTCGGGAATGCTGGAGTCAGAATATGATTTATGATATTTTTTTCTTCTGTTCCTTGCTATTTTTCCTTTCATAAATGTGTGTGTGTAAGCAGTGAAAGGGTAGAAAATACCTCATAGCTTGGTCGTGTGAGACAGAGGGACAGGTTACCAGCAATTTCTAAAGTGTATCTGATTTGAGAAACTAGAAGACAACAGCAGGTTTTCTCTTATAGAAAAGGTTCATTGGTATGCTTAATCTTGGTATTAGAAGTTTAAGTTATCATAAAATCTGACTCAACAAATGGACTTTTGAGGGTTTGTTGTACACCATCCTCTGTGAATAGAGGCTGCACTGCCTGCTTTGTGTAAGACACCCGTTTAAATTGAGAGATTGAAGAAGTCTGACAAAAAAAGGGAAGAAAAAAAGAGAAGTTATTATTTCCCTTGTCACTTCCCAGCTAGGATATATTAATTGAAATCAACAGTAAAATTTATAAGAAGGATTCAACACTTCAGTGTGTTCCATTGATTATTGGCTTATGAATTTTAATTGTCTCCTTACCGAATTGCGGTCAATCAGGCACAGTTTTTAGGGAGTGTGTCATCAGCCAAGGTTAGGTCATTCCCTCTTTGCAACTTTGGGCAGAAAGTCAAAGAAAATAAATACATTCAACCAAACACACTCTACAAGTAACCTGGCATTTTGTATGGTAGAGAGCCAAAGAAGTATAGCCATTAATTTCTAGACTTCATAGAAGAGAAACAACGTACAGCGGGCTCATCAGACCTTAACATTATTGTTCCTTGGGAAACCTACATTTTTCTGGAAGATCTGAAATTAAGAAAGAGT